CTCACGAAACTTTCACCCGTTTATACAAAAAGGAAAGATAAATGTATTTTTTTTACTTTATTTCCCCATCATCTCCCACCCCACCCCCCAATGGAACAGTGGTAAGTCTACGGATTTCCAATGCTAAAATCCTGGGTTCGATCCTCCGTGGTGGACACAGCGGATAGCCCTATGTGGCTCTGCCCAAAAACAAACAAAAAGAACCCTTAAGATCTCAAACCAAATATATATAAAAACCTCCTTTTATTTCTAGATATACGGACTGCCAAATCGCTCGTAGATCTCTTAACAAAGCTTGTAATCTTCTTCCTTCTTTAAAAGATAATAATTTTGGACAAAAACGAAATGTATAAAATAAAGTGTGAATCCAACATTGTCTATATATATCGGTCAGACAATTCTTCAATAAAAATCGTTTGAATGAACACAAACTTGCATTAAAAAAAACACAAATTGCATTTTATCACGTGTAGCAGAACATGTCATTAATTATAATTACCGTATCCTATGGGATGAAACCGAATTAATTTGCTCCATAAATAATTACACTGAACTGAATGTAAAAAAAATCAATGGAACTAATTCAACACAGATTTTTCTTTAAGTAATAACAAAGGTCCTGGAATTTCAATCTTCCAGCTGTACTTAAGTTAACATTGTATAGACATGTATATATTTATTAACAGTATATCTTGTATATTGTTTTCTAATTATGTTTGAAAACTTTAGCTCATGTATAGTGTGTGTGTATACATGTGTTGATTTGTATTATTTCATCTGCAGAGAATGCTTTAAAATTGACATCTACCACGTGTTCTAAGAACACGTTTTTTTTCTTTTTTAATTATTGTATATATATATATATACTAATGTCTCGTCTACTTTCTTTCTGCCTGATGATAACCAAAAAATGTGGTGGGAACATGTAGCAAAATAAACTTGTTTTACAATAACAAGTAATTATGGTTTAAAAGGTGTATTATTTTTTCAATTAAATGTCAAAGATATTTGACTGTCTGGCTCCGTTTTAACCAAAATGATGCATTTCCAGATATAATCGATTTAACTACTTAGTGTTTAACCTAATCAATTTGTTCTTAGTTTTGGACATGAACAGTTAAATACTGTCTATTTGTTGCTGTAACCAATCAAATTGTGACTCGTTATTTACTCTTACCAACAACTTGTGATTGGTTATTACTATAACCAATCGAATCTAGGGAGAGATGATAGACAGGATAGAATATAATGTGCAGCAATCAGTGGACTATATTGATGCTGCAAAGAGGGACACCAAGAAAGCGGTGAAATATCAAAGTAAATCAAGACGGGTGAGTCCTCCTCTTTCATCCATCTTCTGACTTCTCCATCAAGATTTAAATGCTGCATGCACTTGTAAAATGAATATACCCATTTAACCTTTCTTTTTAAATCATAAATCTCCAATAATCAGTTTTATTATTTATCTACAGCTTTAAACTAGAAGTTATATTACTGGCACACTTTTTTTCTCTAAAATTCTTACAATATAAATTATAGCTTGAAAAGGTAGTTTTGTTTCAAGTAGGAATGACGTAGAAAAAATCATAGAAATATAATGATTCTTTTGCATACTGATATTGTTTAGTCATTCATTAAGAAGAGTTCTATAACTTCAATTATTATTTGAAAGTTAAATAATTGTTTTTGTATAAGGTTTGACTCACTAAACTTAAATTATTATATATATCTTCAAAAATTTGTTTTATATAGTGTTGCTTCGAAATTTTTACATCATTTTCAATCGAATCAAACATTTACAATATATTTGACTAAGAGTTTTATATGCATATCTCAATGCAAGTAAACTTTATAGATGGTAAAAAAATCATCTCATCAAATGTTTATTTAAATGCGATGTTTTGACGAAATGTTTTTTTTGCATTTTTTAACTATTCTTATTTTGTTATGTAAGACTTAAGTTACAATATTTAGTAGCCAACAAATTCAATTCTAATAGCAAACCTTACCAGAAACCATTAACATTATTTCACAGCAACAGCTAGAACATTTGAAACTAATGCTGGTATGAACCATTGTTGTGTAAGCTTTCTTAAGCCTTAATTGATCGTATTTCGTAGGAGATCAAGAGATATGTGTTTTGGTAGTAAGATAATTCAATATGTGCATGTAATGTTATTGGAAATTTCTTCTTATGAGTCAGTTTTAATGTCCAAAGAAAAATAGTTTTATATTTCTCTCTCTCTCTTTGCTCATCTTTCACCCGTAAGCAACGATAATTCAAATGATTCAAGTACAGAATTTTAAAGTAAAGAAATAAAAATAAAATCTTAGAACTAGCTTGCTTCACTTGGAGTGTGAATAATGGATGACATCAAGTAAACAGAACAGTCATTTTTTAGACAAGAAAAGCTTGTTGATATATATAGCTAGAGTAGTTGTTTACACTTTGATGATTTCTTTATCTGAACAATCAACTGTTTATAGTTTTTAGACGAGATTTAGTTAAATTAGTTGGCAAGTCTTTATTTAGTAGACAGACGTAAAAAATGGAGCTTAAAAGCACTTTTATATCCAATTTCTAAATTGAGAACCATCTATATGAAGCTAATAAAAAATTGACTACTTCCTAGTTATGAACTCTGTTCTCAGCTTACTACATGTTAGAAGTTTGTTATTATAAAAATCGATTCTGTCTGTTTTAAGAGCGAGATAGGCTTAAAACGTAGGCAGCTTTTTAAAAAAATATATTGTTTTGTAGCAAAATTCTTTACTAACTATCTATACTTCTTTCCGTTTGTGTACTTGCATCCTAACCTTTAACTCGCTGCCTTCTGCCAAAACTTTAATGGCCCATACTCTACAGTGATAAGTAGTAAATCTTTTGTGTGTACAGTTCTTTCGTGGCAGGTTTTCGGGAAATATACAATAATGACAACCCCTAAAAAAAACAAAAAACAGTCCGTTCACAGACCAGAAGAATGTCGTGTAAGAACTGCTAATAATCCCATCCTCCCATTCTTAGTATAGAATATACATTGTTGTTCAGCTATAACAACGTAATATTTCTAAATTTTCGTGAATTTTATGCATTTAGTTATCACATCCGTGTTGAGAGGATTTCGCAAGCTCGTGAACTTCTGCTCTTACAGAGGTATAAGTTACATACTGTAGTCTTTGTTCTTAAGTCTGAAGTTAGCATGTTGACGTTTCTTAGAATTATTAATAAGAACTTCTGAGTGAAAATGAAGAAGAGTATATAATAATATATATTCATATTTTCTCGAATTAACCTGATCATTATTCAGAAAAATTAACGAAACAGCAAGCTAGTTTTATTAATCCCGGAGCGGTTCAAGGGTTAAGGAGAGAAGACTACGTTAGCAGTTACCGATAAGAACTTCTGAGTGAAAGTAAACAAGAGTGAATAATAATGTCAGCCGCACTTGAACTGCTATATCCAGTGCCGACAGGGTAACTTATTCAAACAGGTAATACAGAGAGGTGTTTAACTGGCTTGGATTGGTATAAACTATGTGTAAATCATTGGTTAAAGCGTGGACTTATGGGATACCCTACTAAGACTTGTCCTGAATATAAAAGTGGGGTGTATCGTCTCCTGTTTCTTTTATTTCTGGCTCTTTGTTTCTCTTGATTTTTAACTCGACTGCTCCTGCCCTCAACCCTAGCAGCCAAAAAATGGTCACACCGATTGGAAGGCGACCACCAATTTGGTAAGATTGCAGATATTAGTGTCAATATAGATGTGATTTGTTCGTTCGCTTGTTTCCTTTTACTGCCAGTGTTCAATTTATTCGTTATTTAACAATTCCGAACCTCCGTTTTTGCAGATACTTTTACTTTTATTTTTGGACATCAGTGTTTGGTTTACTGAATTTTACAAGGCTGGTTTATTAATATTTTAACTTTTACTCTAGTTATTTCACCTCTGTCTCTTTGTTATTCCATGCATCGTGAGAGGAATCATTATGGTTATTACATTTTCAAATTGTATGTAATATAAACTTTAATAAATAGCAGAAAGCGTTAATATTAAATGATTGTACTCTGGTATAAACTTTATAAGCTTCAGTATATTGTCATATAATAAATTAAATTTTTTAGGCCTATTTATAAATCTCATTAGATAAGCTTTTTTCTCCAATCTTGAAGGTATCGGAAATTAAAACTTGTACAGTTTGTTTGTTTTGTAATTAAGCACAAAGCTACACAATGGGCTATCTGTGCTCTTACCTTCCACTGGTATCGAAACCCAGATTCTAGCGTTCTAAGTCCGCAGATATACCGCTGTGCCACTGGGAGGCTCTTGTACAGTAGTAGCCAACCTTTCTAATGTTATAATTGCCCAGAGAAAGAAAATACGATTAAAACTGCTGTATAATGGATACCACGTGGTCAAATTTCTGGTCAATTGATCTTTCGATATAGCTGTATTTAACATCTATTACAATAACACTCAATTGTCCTAAAAATGCGCGCGCACTAAATTTTAACGGATGTAAACAAAAGGCAGATGTAAATATACTTCAGTAGACATTTTTACAACATATTAAAAGTTTATCAAAGTTTTAAAAGGGTCTAACGTTAGATCGTAGAATAACATTGCAGATTTATTTATTGATAGTATTAAGTACGGTAAAGTTTATCCCTAATTGAACTCAAGCAAAAAAACGTTCACAAGTTACAGTGTTAATTTATCTCTATCGAATATAGGCCGTACGTAATAAAGGCTTAACTAAAGTTAGGCCTAAGATTTCGGTGTCTGCGATTAGATATATTGTATATTATTCTAGAAAATCCCGATATAAAAATTTTATATGAAAACAAAAATTATTAACAATTCAAATTACACCATGTTAATATTATTGCGAGCAATCTAATAGCTGTTGTTAAAGGAGTTAAAGTTTGTTGGGTGAATAAATGACAGATGGGTTTTAATTATATTAAATGCAAGATAATACATGTGGGTTATCATAATAGGTATAGGTCACTGGTTAGGCCACATTTGAAATATTGTGTTCAGTCTTAGGAAAGACATTGAATTGTTGGAAAGGGTTCAGAGAAGGGTTATTAGAATGGTGCCTGGGATGGAGGGGTTGTCATACGAGGAGAGGTCGAAATCTCTCAAATTGTTTTCTATTGAAAAAAATGAGAGTTAGGAGGGATCTGATTGAAGTGTTTAAGATTGTAAAGGGAATTGATAGTGTTGATGCATCATCTTTTTTCATACTCAACAGTGAGAATAGTAGCACTAGGGGACACAAATGTAAATTTTGGCAGGGTAGGAGTCATCTTCAGTTAGGACAGTTTTATTTTTCTAACAAGGTGGTTGGCCTTTGAAATGGGTTACCTTTGGATGTTGTGGAGGCAGTAAATTTAAGTGAGTTTAAGAGAAAGCTTGATAGCTATAGGAATGAAAAGGACTGGCTTTAAGACTTTTTAAACTTACTTATTAATAGTTTTAGTTTAATTTAGAGGATAGAACAGCCGAGATGGTTCAATAGGTCCCATGTTGTCCCAAAACGTTATGTTGTTTCATACATTTGCTATATGTACCCCCCCCCCCAGTAGCACAGTGGTATGTATGCGGACTTATAACGCTAGAAATTGGGTTTCGATACCCGTAGTGGGCAGAGCACAGATAGCTTATTGTATGGCTTTGTGCTTAGGTTCAAACAAATAAAGAAAGCTATATGTAACAAATACATATTTCTATAGAAGAATTTACTCGGAAAAAATGTTTTATTTCTTCCAACTCTTTGTTTATCTGGCATCTTCTAACAATATTCTGTCTTTAAAGAAATTATAATTTCTTACTTTTTTGTAGAATTTTTTATCATCATATCATACAATACTCAAAAGTTTTCATTTTTCAAGACGTTTCAGCTTTTCTAGTAAGCACTGATATTTAGGCTTCAAAAGCTTAATATATGAAATATATTATTTAAACTTTTGAACCTTTTTTGCTCGTACAAACACATACTTCCGATTTTGACTTGGTGGACTAAGTTGAATATCAAGTTGAACAAAGTGGAGATCATTTAGAAAATGCCCAAACCTAGTTGTTTGAAACAAGCGATTACCTGCTTCTTGTCAGATTGGCAAGTGTTCTCCACTGTCTTCCAAATTTTCATGTGATTCTGTTAAAATGTATAAAAACTCTTCATCATTCTAACATATATATACACTTATTACATTATATAACAACAAATCCATTAATAAAGATGCTGAACGTGTTTAAGGATATAAATATAAGTGGTTAGGTGTGAGATATACAATCTTGAAACGTGTTCACATTCTGCAATGATTT